TTGAAGGAAGAAATTGAAGCTTCACTGAAGGAATTGGTGAAGAGCAAGGCTCGAGGAATTGACGGAATACCCCTTGAGATGTTTCAACAAATGGATACCCCACTAGAGGCATTCACTCATCTATGTCAAGAGATTTGGAAGGCAGCTATCTGGCCAAATGACTGTAAGAGATCCATATTTGTACCCATCCCAAAGAAAGGTGATCCCACACAATGTGGAAAATAATGAACAACATCATTAATATTGCATGCAAGTAAAATCTTGCTGAAGATAATTCAAAAATGGTTGCAGCAGTATATTGACAGAGAACTTCCAGAAATGCAAGCTGGTTTCAGGATAGGATGTGGAATGAGGGATATCATACTGATATCAGATGGATCTTGGCTCAAAGCAAAGAATACCAGAAAGATGTTTCCTTGTGTTTTATTGACTATGTAAAAGCATTTGATTGTGTGGATCATAACAAATTATGAGTAACATTGAGCAGAATAGGAATTCCAGAACAGTTAATTATACTCATAAGGAACCTGTACATAGACCAGGAAGCTGTTGTTTGAGAGCAAAGGGACACTGCATGGTTTAAAATCAAGAAGGGAGTAGGTTAGGGTTGTATCCTTTCATCATACTTGTTCAATCTGTATGCTGAACATATAATCTGAGAAGCTGGATGATATGAAGAGGAATGTGGCATGAGGGTTGGAGGAAGAATCATTAACAACTTGCGATATGCTGATGACACAACTTTGCTTGCTGAAAGTGAAGAGGACTTGAGGCACTTACCAATGAAGATTGAAGAATACAGTCAGCAGTATGGCTTACCTCTCAATATAAAGAAAACTAAAATCCTCACAACTGGACCTGTAAGTAGCATCACAATAAATGGAGAAAAGATTGAAGTTGTCAGAGACTTCTCATTGGTTGGTTCTACAATCAACACCAGTGGAAGCAGCAGTCAGGACATCAGACGACATAGAGCATTGGGAAAATCGGCTGCTAAGGACCTCTTTCAAGTGCTGAAGAGCAAAGATGTCTCCTTGAGAACTAAGGGCTAAGGACTTGGGCCTGACCCAAGCCATGGTATTTTCAGTTGCCTCATATGTATGTGAGAGCTGGACAATGAATAAGGAGACCGAAGAAGAGTTGATGCTTTTGAGATGTGGTGCTGGTGAAGAATACTGAAAGTACCATGGACCGCTAAAAGAACTAACAAATTTGTCCTGGAGGATATGCAGCAGGAATGCTTCTTAGAAGCAATAATGGCCAGACTTCATCTCACATACTTTGGTCATGTTATCAGAAGGGACCATTCTCTGGAGAAGGATGTCATGCTTGAAAAGGTGGAGGATAGACAAAAGAGGGGAAGGCCCTCAAAGAAACGGATCGACACAGTGGCTGCAGCAATATGTTTAAGTATAGCAAGGAACGTGGAGCTGGTGTGGGATTGGACAGTGTTTTGTTTTGCTGTGCATAGGGTTGCTATGAGTTGGAAATGACTCGATGGCACCTAACAACAACAACAATAGAGCCCTGCACTTTGAACTCAGACTTAAAGCCTTCAAACTGAAAAAGCATAAACTCCTGTTTGTGGAAGCCATCCCCTTTGTGGCATATTCTTGTCAGTGACACTAAGTAACCAAAACAAACTGACTCTGGCACTTTTTGGCTATGTGATATTAAAAAAGCCAAACTCTCTGCTGTCAAGTCAATTCCAATTCCTAGTGACCCCTCTTGGTTTTCTGAAGATGTAAATCTTTATGGAAGTGGATCAACCCATCTTCCTTCCACAGAGCAGCTGGTGGGTTATGAACTGCTGACTTTCTAGTTAGCAGCCAAATGCCTTATCCACTATGCCACCAGAGCTTTTTATGTGATGTGATATTGTTGTCATTGTTGTTAGGTGCAGTCGAGTCATCTCCATCTCATAGAGAACCTATCCACAGACCCTATGCATATTATAATATG